TACTTTTGACGGTGCCTATACTTCCGTCAATACTTAAAATAATAAAAAGTGTTTATATAATACAACGAGCCCATGCCCGTTTATTATGTAAGCCGAGTAGGAACTGTATTCCAACATTCTAATGAAAAAGCGAAATATCACAATATGTTTATACATTTATTCTTATTCAAAAATATGTTAAAATATCGTTTCTCAGAATAATGCAGGACTGCCGCGAGTCATTTTAGAATTCAACCAATATAATTTAATGTAAAATCTGACAGAAGTGGTTATGTAAGAATAATGTAAAAATAAATAATACGATAACAATAATAACGACGATTGAAAATAACTAATTGTCCTAAATACAGTATTAACATTGCGGTTATTTATATCCTTACAAAACTGTATGTTAGTTGACTGTGGATAACAATGAAACATAATACATCAATTCAGAAAAATATTCAGATAGATAAATTATACGAAAAAGTAATTTTTGAGACATTGTTGATTTACCTCAACAGAAAATATTCGATCTGAGATCATCTATTCACAACTTTGAAGTTCGTAATGAATTTCATGACAGGCTTTTACGGGCAGAATATCTGAAAATATTTTATTTAAGTTCCTAAGATTGATGGTAGTTAATCGGAATAGGTTTCTAATATAGTTTAATATATTATCATAGCTATTTCATTAAAGAAAAAAAATTACTTTACTAGTAGAGCTATTCGAATGGGGATAAATTCGCACCAGGCCTTCATTGGAGTTTTAATTAGTTAAAAACATGTATTATGGAATCTGTTTAAATAAAAATTCAAACTAAACCACATTAAGCACTGGTTTCTTATGATGACATTCCTTATGGCGGATTTATTTCTTATTACAGAGTTTTCTTTTTTATACTGTTTTCCTTGTACTCATAAGTTGTTTACTTTAGTTATTATTTTAATATTATTATTTCTTGTTTTAATATATGTTAAAAGTCAAGGAGAATATAACCAATAATTGTTTAAATTTAATTTATTTTTAGCTTTACGGATATTTTATTTTCAATATTATTTTGTGTTTTGAAACAACGAAAAGCCTAAGAAAAATATACTTTTCCTTATTCCTTTATTCACATTTAGGTAATTATGAATTAACCTCTACTTAGTTTGTTGAAGAGTATGTGCCCAACTGCTTAATCTTATATCTCAGTAAATTAAATAAATTCTATATAGTTTAAAACCGTGTTGTTTTATTTTCTTACACCTTTCGTGTCTCCATTGGACCATTGCAACAAAGGTGGACTTCGTCGTTAAATCGTACTGAGTTAATCTTTCAAGTCCGGCTCACTACACTATTCAAAAGAATAGTGCTACATATTTCATGAATAATAACATTTTTGGTAATATCGTCTATAGATAAGAAAAATAAGGGTTAACTGTTAAAACACATTCAATGTCATTGACAAAATAATGTATACATTATTTAATTTTTAGTAACTAAAAAATTTTTTGAAACTTAATATGACCTGAGTCATTTAGTTATACTTAGTTAAATTGAATATGAGTACGTACCGATCGGTATCGATTTTGCATTTATTTTTATTTATTTTGGCAATAAATACTTGTTCATATTTCAACAAGCAACTTTACATTTTAGTATTTTCTGCAGATTTCTATTGAAGTTCTTGTTATTCTAGGTGTGTAGGGATAACTACGTAATTGTTTTGCTGAAAAATGTATTTTATACGGTAAATTTTCTTGTTGTTAAACATATATTTTTTATCTTTACCGTATATAAAAATAAAATATTATACTATTATTTACGAGTATTTTTTTATTTATCTTATGACATATTTGAGTATTTAATATTTATATAATCTAATTATAGTTGTGATTGTAGTTATTACGGTTGAATTAAATTAATTTAAATAAATTAACAAAACAACAAAATAAAATAAAAATTAAGAAATAAACTTACAAATTTAATATCAGACAGTTTAATTTAATTATAATTATCAACGGTATAATAAATTATCTAGTATTATCATTTTCTACAGACTTATGTCCAAGATAACTATCCAATCTAGAACTTTCTTTAGTTAGTCTGAAGAAATTCCTTCATTTCTTCCTTGAAATTTTCATTAAGGACAGTTTGCTATAATATATGATTTTATCTGATTCATAATCTTTAACAAATGCACTACAGTTTACCTTTTTGAAATTCCACCTTGGCTTAAGGATGAAGTATAATGTTGAAATTTGGAGATTATACTTCAAAGCGCTGATCTGTGTTAACTATGTGGAAATTTATCCAGTAATTTTCGGAAGCGCATAGTATTATCTTTTAGAAACGCCTTTGTGATAAATCCGATGAATATTCATTGTCCAGTTTGGCTGAATGGAATATCCTTTTGTCTTCAGCATCCTATACCAATTCCATGTTATTCATGGAAAGCCAGTTAAGCTATATAACTTCGTTGTCATCGTTATCATCATAGCCCTAATAACTATGACTATTAAGTCACCATTATATGTACTTACAGGTATCATTTGTTGGGTGTCATAGAATTTACAGTGATTGGTTATTTTATATGGTATTGAGTGGTTTTTACACATTTACTATATTTACTCCACACACATCACTATCAGAATAAATACTTCATCCACTATCTCCTGGGCTACTGTTCTCTCATAACTGATACATGATTTCAGTTAGGTTGCAACTACGTATTGTTTATGATATATAGCTCCAATCAAATTATAACTAGCTATTTGACTCCTTTTTATGGAAATTATTTTCGTCTATTGTAGTATGACGTTTCCTGGAGTGCAATACCGTCTAATTTTTTCTCTTTCTTAAGTTTAAATAAATTTTCTTTTTGAGCTATCGAAATACCTTCAATATTTTAGTTTCTTACTCTAATGCATGAGTTTACCATAATATCTGAGTTAATTTGCCATAAAAAAGGCAGTTTAAAGGCTGCATATTACTGTCTGTTGGGTATCAGCACCTTAGTGATCAGGGGCGGATTTAGGTATGTGGTGGGCCCTGGGCGGAATGCATTGTGGGGGCTCCTCACACTTAAACAAGAAAATATATTTTTTTTACTTATTAAAAAACATTTATAATCATATTTAGTAGTTTTCATTTAAATTTACTTTAGAGGGTCTAAAAGGTTTCTGTATAGTCATTTTATATTTTTTTTTCAATGTTAAACTATTCGGAGACAACAGCTTCTGGGATATCATTTCAATTTTCAATTTCATTGTAGTAAGGCAATTCAAAATTTTCACTCTCATCAAAATTAGCTAATAGCTTTTCTATTTCTCCAATACTAACTGTATCACTTTCTATGTCACTTAGTTCAGAGATATTTCCATCCAATAAATCAATAAGCTCTGAGCGAGTGAGCTTACTCATTTTAAAAATATGGTGGTCAATAAATAATTACAATACAATGACGCACAAAACATCCAAACAGTATAAAAATGTACGCACCGTAACGCACTGAACGCGGAACGACAAACAAATCAAAACATAGCGTGCCGTCGCGCTGAACCGGTAAGTCCCAATGTACATACATATCACCTCATACATGCTCTGTAATTTTGTATATAAGGTAATGAAACCGGTGGGAATGTCGGCAATTGATAAAAAATTTACGTATGATTTTACGTTATCGTAAACATTTAGGCGTGAAAAAAACATATGGAAAAATAATTGCGATGTGATTATCAAATTTTTTCCCCTTCCTAGTTGTATATAGTATTGTTGGTAACACTTATACTTATACTTACACTTATACTTGGTACACTCGAAATATTATATTTTATCCTGATCCGAATGATTACCAGTTCATAGACATTTCAAACAAGCGTGTAGCTCTTATCATTAATTTACTATCAAATATAAAAATGTATATCATTACAATGTACATATAGACTGGAAGGGTTAAATATAAAATATATGTTATTAAAAGTAATATTCATATAGTAATTGTTAAAGTTTGAACTAACCTCAGAAGAAGATGTTGGTTAGGCTGTGTTATGAAAAACTCTGTCATTCGTCTAGTTTTTGAAATTATTTCTGTAATTTTTTTATCTTTTTCTTTTTCCAATTTATGTTTATCTGCACCACTCATATAAAATCGCTTTAATTTATGACGATCTTCTTCCATTTTTAAACTATAACACTATTCATTGGTTAATAACTTATAATATAAGAAACAACTAAACTACTGGAGTCAGTAACTATTGTAGGTATACACAACTAATATTAACAAACATCTGACTTGCAATAAGTGCAATGAACAAATAACGATAATTTACCTATAGACGGATAGTCTGTAATGTGTATTTTATGTTACTTCCAAAAACTAATCCCATATTTCTGACTGTAAATTATTGTCGTTAGCTATCGTGTTTACTACAAAATGTTGACGCATAATTCCAGACCCTCATGTGTATATTTAGAAACACATTTACTAATATTCTTACAATCGAAGGTGCGCACGGACGGCATAAAAATCTATTTTATCTAGATTTTTAAACACCGTTCATTGTTAATAAACGCGAATACATCTATTATTAGTTAATAAAATTAAATATTTGAAATATCCAAATAAAGTTCAATATTATTTAATTAAATATGTTTAAATATAAATAAAATATCTTTTCTGTATCCTAATTTAAATATAAAATTGTGGGAGCCCCTGGGCTGCAGCCCACTCAGCCCTCCCCTAAATCCGGCCCTGTTGGTGATGGAATTAGTTACGCACATTCGTCTTACTTTGTAGGCAAGGTGATCAAAATGTTTACGAGCTAATGCAGGGAGGTTGAACCTCTTGCAGTCTTCTACCGTCTTCTCTATTAAATTATATTATTACTTTTAAACATTTAATAATTGCATATAACATTTTGTACCCATATTTTTTATGATAATAAAATATATAAAATAAATTAATTCATGAGCCTAACAAATGTTATGATTTAAAATATAAATTTTACTAATCGAGTATTGATCCATCCCAGAAGCAGAAGCAATCAAAGATGGATGAAACTCAGAACCACTGTGCAGCTGTCTAGTGCTATTTCATCGACGATAAAGACATCGAAGCCAACGCTACAGAGAGAGGATTCATTCATCAAGCGATTTTCCACGCGACAAGTGGCCGAAAAACAGGTATTTATAACACTAGTAAATACAAGTAAATTAATTTTATAAAAAGATACGCGCGTGCACATACGAGTATATGTAAAAAGATATCCACTCGTAACGCAAATTAATGTTAAAATGCTCTCGTTTTGACAGGCCCGATGTCTTTTATCTTATGAATAACATTAACATCGTTTCTTATACACCGTACCACCGTAAGATGTAAAGTATGTACGAGAATTTAGCAGATCCTTTCAATGTTTGAAATAACCACATTAACACTTGAGTATTCGTAAAATATTGTTCACGTTTCGTCGTACGTTCAACAATCTCCACGAAATCTGCAAAAAATATCTTCATAGACAATATTATATAAGAACACAAAATGCTTTATCGCACTTATCTCACTGACGCTCCTATATGCTGACTTAAATAAAACACCGTGAGAACTTATCAAGATGGAATTGAGTAGGACCTAAAAAATGTTCCATTTTACTCGAGATTCCTGCTTATTCGATACAAACAGTGTTGAACCTAGATAACTAAAATTTTATCTAGATAAAGATAAAGATCAACTAAAAATATTTTATCTAGGTAAAGATAAAGATAATTTAATTATAATTTTATCTAGATAAAGATAATAAAGTTAACTTTTTATCTAGATAAATTCGAGATAAATTTTATATTTATTACCTTAGTCAATCAGCAATATGGTTGTGATATTTGAAAAATTGACATATTTACAACAGACTACAGTAAAAGTATTGCAGATTGAGAAAGTAACTGTAATAATCAATTAATTTGTACAAATTATTATAATTCAACAACTTTAACAATAATACAATAAATAGTGAACATAATAACCACAGACTATTGATGCTACCTATATTTAATAATTATTTTACTAAAATTATAAATAAATAAATAATTATATTAGTAATAATATCATAGAACTATTCAAATGGTTGAATAACAAACCAGTGTACATGATATCTTCTTTATATTCTCCAAATAACACCCATGCAGTATAAAGAGAAATAAAAGATGAGAAGGGAGTACTACCACGATTCCTAGTCCTAATTGGTTACTATAACATGAATAATGTAGATGTATTTGACCAGTTGTAAACATCGTATGGAATACCTACATATAAAATTCAGAAAATGTTGGCATTTAAACTATTTTTCATTGTATAGTTATTGTAAATTATTTTATACACCATCAAGAACTAAGATTAGAAAATATTTCACTAAAAGACTTACGTTGGAGGGTAGTTAATGGAATGTTAGCTGCTAATCAGCTTTAAATGATAAAAAAAAAAACCCATACAAGTATAATTATTAAGTTGTATTGTACTTAATAAATACAATACAATACAATACAATAATTTTATTTATTTCATTTTGAAACTAGTTCTACTAACATAAATGTTTAAGCATTAATGCCACTTAATTAAATTTGTAAACATCAATTATATAAACGAGTTCTTAGTATTAACAAAATGCCAAAATACATTGTAAGACAATGTCACAGGACATTTCCATAGATAGGTCGATAGGTCGATAGGTGTATACACGTTGTTATATACTTGTTACATTTTGGGGACTAAAATATTAATTATGTTTCTCCGATTGCACTATTGCTCCGCCATGTATATTGTAATATAAATAGTCTTTTATCGAATAATTCATCGAATTGAGTGGTAATGTCTACGGGACTGCAGATAGTACTTTAAACTATTAGTAGTGCAGTTTCCAGGTATTATATCAGAATCATATTTCATAATATCGTGTTATTTGATTATTTCCATGTTTTATTGGAATAATTATTTTATTTTTAGAACAACATTCGCCAACTATCAATAAGTTATTTTTCTGAACAAGTAATATTAATCATATCAATGATAAATAAGAATAGGTACCACAGAATAAATGAAATCAGAATGGTCACTGATAAGATTTTACACAAAGAACATAAGGGAGTTCAAAAATCATTCAGCCATTGTTTTGGAGTCCCAACAATGTGACCACCTAATACATAGACTAATAATTTACTTAATTACAACTAATTATATTTTATAGGTAATTTATCCAGATGAATGTATCTAAATAATCCCAATACTTGATACAAACCTTAAAAAATGTTTACTATGATTGGGGCCAAATTAAATTTGCATAAGGATCTTGATCGAGTGCCATTTTCAAACGTGTTTTACTATAGAACGTTTAATTTGTACACGTAATAAATATATAGATAACGTTAACATGAGCATGACTTAATTCTTCCTCACGACGTTATTTCTAAATTAAGTCACTTTCCTTTTTATTTTTATCATTTGTAACTTACTCATAAAAAAAAAAAAAAACCAAAACAATATAAAATATTCCACGTACCATCATAGTAGTTCACCATAATTTATGTGTGCAATACAACTACTATCGTGCATTAATTCTTAATATTGTAACCCGGCGTCATAGTTATGCAATATGACTACATTTATGCGATTTTACTGAGATTTTTAACACATAATTCTCATTTCTAATCGGAAAAATAATGATATAAACAAATATATCATGATGAAAAAATTTAATAATAATGCTAATTAATAAATTCGAAATATATAACATAAGAATTTGTGGTTCACAATTATTCAATAATAGTTTCTTTTTATTCAAACTTTTAGTTATTTCATTCAATAAAAACAAACCAATTCATTCTGCTTTATTACAGTGATTGTTTAATATTTTTGTTGGAATTTCATTTTTGTTTATATAATCAAAATTAAATTTACATTTCATATTAGATCATTCTGATGAATCATCATGGATCTTTATATCATAAAATAATAAAATAAAATGATAGTTCGTTCCTAAAAATAATATCATTGAGTTAAAAATTGTACAATAGACGCTGAAATATAATTAATGAAGAAAATAAAACCATTTAGTATCGAGTACTAAAAATAATGAAACATAGAATTTTAATTATATCGTTTTATTGGTTTAACGAGTTTTGAAATCCAACAAGCTATCAAAAAGAAGCTTAATATTATATTTTTTACCTTATGTTAGATTATCAAACCGTATGAATATCAACAATATTCAAATATCAAAATTCAAATTACTTCATACGTTATTCGGTCCTATTTAATTTTTTTATCTCACTTTTTTTTTTTACATAACAACTAACGACGAGAATTTAAAAGTAAGACATCTTATTGATAAAATGTGATATTAATTTTATAATAAAAGATTTTTCACTACTTAAATCAATACGTTTAGTTACAAAAACAAATTATGCAAATTTTTATTCATAATTTATAAATAAGAACAAAATAATGGAAAATAAAATGAAGAAATATTTTTTTTTTTTTTTTATTTCACTTATTCCTTTTATATCTTAAAAGTCTATTTAAATGTAGAGTGTTTTATTTCACTAGGATGGAGGGCACACACATATATGAATTCCAAACATTTTCCGTCTGATGTCCAAAATAATATTTGTAACACAGTTTAATTTTAACGAAAAGCTTACAGTAAAATTATACTATACTGAATCTCGTTCTCACATTATACTACAATTATACTATAACAATACAGTATTGTTATTGTACTCATCGTTAAATGTTGTTGATTATTAAATTATACACTTTCGTATGCACTAAAATAATATCAAGTGGAATCATCTAATGATGATTTTTGCCATAAAACCTTTAAATTATTGTCTGTATGTAGTTATGCCACTAGTGTTAATAGTATGATAACAAATACGCTAGTAACCTGGATAAATCAATATTTAGTTATCTCTTATAATGGATAAATTTCATAAATATGATGAAGCAATTCAATTAATAGTTGGAATAATAAAGTTCTTCTTGTATTAATTTATGTTTAATCGGCAGGTAAAATAATTGGTTATGATAATATGTTTTTTTCATTTATCCATTTATAATCAAGAATCATTTAAAACTTATGATTGATTCTATATAGGTATAATTTGGTAAAATCTAGTAAATACATAAAAACTTTAAAAATTTTGAACACGTTTTTTTTAGCCAGAATTTTTTTTAAAATGTCATTATATTATAGCCACCTATGCTGACAACACCACAATTCTATCACCTGGTAATTATCCTGTAGAAACTGTATATCGTTTAAAAACATATTTAAACTTAATAAACAAATGGTCATCTAACTGGAAAATTAAGATTAATCCTGACAAATCAATTTATGTCCCATTCACACTAAAAAAAATCCATACCCCTCTCCATTTTCAAGGAATACCGATCCCAATTTCCTCAGAAGTTAAATACCTCGGCGTCATACTTAACAAATGATTGACCTAGGGTCCTCAGATCAAGTCAAAAAGAAAAACCCTCAATAATCAACTTCACTTACTTAGACCAATTCTGAAATCAAAAATACCCTTCCACACAAAAATAATCATCTACAAATCCTTATTAAGGCCAATCTGAGTTTATGCAATCCAAATCTGAGAATGCGTTAAGCCATCTCAGATCCGTACCCTCTAGGCCTTTCAATCCATCACTCTACGCATTATTTATTCTGCACCCTGGTACGTATCAAATTCTACATTTCAAAATGACTTTAAAATAGAAACAGTAAATCAAATAGCCACACAACATTATAAAAAATTTCACTCTAAATTACAGTCTCATTTTAATCCTTTAATCGCCGAACTTGCTTCCAACTCACTAAAAAAAAAAAAAAATGCTGTCGCGACTTATTAAATGATTGACAGTTCAATCCATTTAATTTTAATTTAAGTGAAATTGCAGCATAGTATGCATAAGTGCAGCATGGTGGGTGGAAGCAATATTCCAGAGTGTGCTTGTATGATTGGCACCCCATATATTGTGGTTGATGGAAAACTTTTCTCGGTTTTCAACGATAATTCTGAAGTGCAATTAAGTAGTTTGTTCAATTTGAATACATTTATGTTAAACTCGTTGTTTTGAAGTTTGCACATAAAAGTGACATATTACTCGTATTCAATACATAACGTTT